CCTCAGGACTGAGAAACTGCAAAGCTGGGAAAGGAGGTGGCTAGGTCATTTTGATTGTTCAGGCATTGGGAACAGCACGTCACAAAGAGCAAGATAGGGGAAAGAGAAATAGATGGCTAGTGCCAAATTTGAAAGGCACAAGCCAGAGAAATAGATGCAAAGGAAGAACATTTCATTCTGATGAAAAAGAGCAAATGTCAGTGCAAATTCTGGCATATCTACACAAGACAGCAATAGCATTACTAAGCCTAGAGCTGAAGAGCCGGCATCACTGCCACCAGGAAAGGGAAGGTAAGAAGCAGGGCAGGGACACTGGAGGGAACTGGGGGGAGGGAACATAGAAAAAAGAAAAGAAAAAAAGCCTGGAATAAAGAGATTGACTGAGAAATGAAGAGAAGGTGATGAGCAGTGCCAGGAAGTGACCATGGCAGGAGGTGACAAGGAATGAGGAGCACTTTGGCCTCTGGAAAGGGCCCCTGTCTTGGGCTTCACATCTCTCTGAGTGGTACCCATGCTGTCCAGCCATATTGGCTCCCCGTAGCCACCACAGTTTTGTACATTAGCTATTTGAAGCCCAGGCCTCTCTGGACAATGATCTGTCATTTACAGCAGGGCTACCTGTGTACTAGGCATGATACTGCTGCCTCCTGTGTCATTTCATGCTGGTATCTGGAAAGTATCTTGCACAACACAGGGCTGATGGTTCATCCCACCATGCTTCCTGGAGCTGTGAGCATTATGCTGAGAGGCATGGGTATTGTCAGAGTCAGAATGCCACTAAAAATGAGGCTTCCCTTGTCAACACCACCATGTTAGAGAATGCAAAAGCTTCACAACCCAGGAGACAATATTGCCCTTGTCCTCTTTTTCTCCAAGAAGGCAGTAAACTACAAGTGCCAGAGGATGTAATCCAAGTGCTAATAAATTATTGATGTCTCTCTTCAGCTTTTTACTTACTAAAAGAATATCAAAGCTCATTTTATGAATGGTCCAGACAGATTCTCTTTTGGTATGCCCACAATTTAATTCACAAATATTACACTAAGCACTAATATTGAAGCAATGCAGTGTTCTCCCTTTACAGGCTTTGCAAAGGCTAATAGATGTTTTAAATTATATCGGCTCATAAACAGGTACAGTGAGGGAAATGCCACTTGTGATTCCAGTAAATGTTTAAATTCATAATTTCAGAAAGGAAAGAGCTTGTTATCAACTAGAGATGCACCTCTTTTTTTTTTTTTTTTCTTTTTTTCTTTTTTTTTTTTTTTTCCCCTACATTAAGGGCTGATTAAAATCCTGTTGAAACAAGTGGGCTTGCTCCTTAGGGATAGGCTGTCTCGTTCTTTGGCAGCTCACACAAGTGGTAGGACAGCATGACTTATTTTATATTTAGCAATAGCTCCTCTCTTCCAATATGCCTATTTGCATAAGTCAACTTAGAAACCATCTGTATTGGAAATACTCTTCCCATTCCTGTTCACTTTGGGGCAGCATGTGGCAGTTTGTTCACAGTATATATTAATTTATGCTGTTTCTTGGAGCAGCAGAGAAGTGATTTGAAGATGTCACTGCAATTTCCCTAGTAGGAATCTCCCCCAGACAGGAGGCTTAATGTTTCTCTTTCATTAAAGTGCTCTGTGACTTTTGATGGCCCTGAGCACTCATGATCCCCATAGCTGTCTCATCTTTAAGACAAGCAGCAAGCTCCTATGTATACCTCATATCAGACCTTTGCAAATTTAGCCCAAATAGTGTGTCTCATTAAAGAGCGGAACAAAATTCTGCCTGTTAAATTTGTGCTGGGTCCTAGCCAAGCTCAGAGGAAAGACGAGTGGCGTTCCGGCAGAGGCACACTCAGAGTGGCATCCACACCAACATGGACTGCAGTTCCTGACTGCACCAGTTCCTTGGTGCTCTGAATAGGAGAGGCAGCACCACAAACATGCATTGTCTCTGTTCTCTGCTTGCCGTTTAGAAAGAGTGAGTGACCAGGCACAAAGCCCAAAAAAAGGAGCTGATTTTTACAATATGGTATACATATTTTGCAAGCCAGTCTGCAAACTGCTCATCATATTTTTTTGCAATATATATATATAAATATTCATAATTAATCCATGTTAAAATAGAGGAAAAAGCTTCTAAAGAACAAAAATAGCCTCTTCAGGCAGCTTACACCAGTGACACTGATCCTCTGCATTTCTGAAATTATAAAAATGAGCTTTGCACAGCTTTTCCAGTACTTTCTGGAATTCCTTTTTTTTCTTTTTTCGCCTGTTTCTTCAGGTTGTGAAAGTTGATAACGGAGATTGATGCACTGAATCTGGAGCCACAGAGGTGGAAATAACAGCACCGAGTGATAGATGACATTTCTAAATCTTCAATCTCAGGGCTAGCAACCTTCATTATCCCTTCTCTGGGTCTGCCTTATCTTCAGGCTTTTTCCCATGATTTTCAGGTGCCACCAGGATGCTGACAGTATGTCAGGTAGAAAGATGTACAAACCTTTGCCTTTTGGATCAAAACCCTGTGCTCAGCTGGGGGTACATCACTTCAGAAAATGTCTTCTTCTCTTAAAGGTGGAAGGGCTGGAAAGCCAGTCCCTGAGACTGCTTGCAGACCTGAGCACCAGACAGGATTGGTTTAGGTTAAATAAATCACAGGTTATTCAACATCAAAAGCAGAGTGTCTGCGGAAATGAAAATAAATTAAAAACCATCCTGAAGCTGTTCAGGCTGCCGCAAAGCCCAGTGGGTATTAGATGTATTTATTAAACAGAGGTGACTGTTTGGCATGGGTTGACAGACAGACCTGAGCTCTGCCAGGTCTTTGTTTTCTGTCCTTGTGTGACTCAGCTTTTAAATCTGATGCTCTTACTCCTGGTCTGTTTGGCTGGGCTGCTGACACCTCCCTCCACAGTGTCTCCCTGCTCTCTGTAACAGCTGAGTCCCTGACTTCAGAGAACTGCTCGCCCCTGTCACCTTATGAAATAGGGATGCCCTTCTTTGCTGCCTCACAGCACGGTGAACCCCATTTTTGCTTCTTCCCATCATTGCTGCTGGTGCCTTTGACAGTACTGTGTAACAGTCCCTACCAGGAGAATTTGGCTCTCATGTAACACTGGGTACAGATACCTCCAGGGACAGTTCTCTGGCTTGGCACATTTCCCCTCTAACCGCAGTGCTCCATCAGCACTGCCACCATTTTTACAGTGTGTGTGATGTCACTGAAAGCAACCACACAAACGCACAAGCTGACCAAGCAGACCGGGATTTTCATCTCTCTTCCCCTATAGGTCTTGCCGGGTAAGGCAGGGGCACTCCTTACGCATTCTCTGATGCTCCTTCCCGCACCCCAGATGTGATCCACTCCCTGCCGTCTGCTGGCCAACTTAGCCCTGAGAGATTGTTCCCCGTTGTGCCACTCATGGAAATGAAGCAAGGTATTTTAAACGTGCGTTTTCTTGCGGTTTAGAAAACCTGCACTGTACTGCCTAGCACCGTGTGCTTCCTGCAGTTCCTCTCCAGGGCTGACGGAAGCAAAAGCCAGACTACTTTGCACATTCATGCTGGATGCAGCAGAACAAATGCAACTCCTGGCAGAAGGAGGTGAGCTCAGGGGAGGAAAAGTCCCACGTGGCTGCAGTTATGGTGGCAGTGCACGTGCTGCAATGTGTTCAAAAGGTACAGAAGACAAAGGGAGGCTGCCAAGGTGTCTCTCATTGGTGTCCTTCACCTCCAAAGCCAGCAGGGTTGCTCCCTCTGGAATCAGCCAAGAGTCATCCCATGCAATCAGTGTCCTGAAATCCAGATTTAGCATACACAACAATTCTAGAAAATCCCAGCTTTGGGGCTTTTCTCTCTGTATGTTCACACACATGGGCCGAGCAACCCACTGCTCCACAGGCCCCCCCAGCCAACCTCACATGCAGCCTTTATGCTGGAGCAGAGTTGTGTGGAGCAGCATGCCTGATGAGCTGCAAGCATATTGTGGCAGGAGTTGAGGTGTGAATATTAAAGCTAAGGTTGATGCTTCAAGTCTGCTCACTTGCCTGCTTGCAAGATTTTACGAAGCATTTAAAATACATACTGCTGTAGGGCACAGAGAGAGAAACAGATCAAATGAGATGAGCCTCACAAGGCAAAGAGTGTAATGAAACATGAAGCAAACATGCAGAGATAAGATGGTGCAGTACACCAGTCCTGGATGCAGGACAGCAGATAATGCCTGGATGTGCTGGGCGCAGGCGGGAGGAGGGAATGCTGACAGTGCAGGGGTTTGCGGGAGGCTGCTTGGGGGGGAACCTGTGCTGGATGGATGAACCCGCAAGGAAGGCTGAGGCAGAGGGGAGGGAGGAAGGGACAGGAGAAGCGGGGTTCCTCCATTTCCTCTGTCGCAGGCATCGCGGCAGAAATTCTCCGAGGGTACACGTGCGCGAGAGGGCTGGGGCAGCCCCAGGGCTCGCTCCCGTTGCAGGTCTCAGCGGACGGGAGAGGAGCGGGTCTTCTCGAGAAGTTTGGCCGTCCGGTGCCAGGGGCAGCCTTCCTCCTCCTCCTCCCCCTCGTCCTGCCGCCTCGTCCAGCCGCGGGGTGCCGCCGCCAGCCCGGGAGGGGTGCGGGCTTCGGGAGAGGCGGTCGGAGGCTACGGTCGGGCGGCGGAGACGTGAAGCCGCGCCGAGCATCCCAGGGGCGGGGGCAGCTCGCTCCAGGAGGGGGGCGGGAAGGAGCCCCCGGTGCGGGAAGGACTCACCCCGCGGCTCTCAGCCTTCCACAGAGGCTCTCCGGGAGCCGCCGGGCGCTCGCTGCCCACCTGGGGGGGCCGTGAGCGGCTGGGGCACCCCCCCTCCGCCTCGCCTTTCTCTCCTCCCCTCCGCCGCCTCCCTCCCTCTCTCCCTGCCTGCCTGCCTGGGATGGTGAAAGGAGCCGGGCAGACCCGGCGGGGCGGCCCTGGGCGCGGGGGGCGGCTCGGGGGCCCGGAGCCCCCGCCGCCGGTGATGGCCAAGGATGTCCTCGGAGGGGGAAGCCGAGGCGGCTGCTGAGAGCGGGCCGGGCAGCAGCCCCACGCCGGGGCCGGCCGCCGCCGAGCGGGAGGAGGTGAGCGGCGGCAGGGGCAGCCGCCCCGGCCCAGGGGGGGTTCGGGAGGCAAAAGGGGAGATGGGCGTGGGGAAGGGGCTGGGGAGCCCCTCGCTGGGCAGCGGGAGCGGGTGGCCGAGGAGGGGATCCGCAGAGCGGGGGAAGCCGGCGAGGCAGCCGCGGCCCCCGCAGCCCGGCCGGGACCTGCAGCCGCGCCGCGGGGGCGGCCGCCAGCAGCCGCCGGTAGGGAGCCGCGAGCGGGGCAGTGCGGAGCGGAGCGGGGCTCTGCGCGGTGCGGAGCGGACCTCAGCGCGGTGCCCGCCGCGCCCTGCAGTGCCGGGGGTGCCGGCGGGAGCGGGCGGAGTCCCCAGCGGCCAGGTGTTGGGGGCGCCGGGCTCGGCTCAACCCGGCCGGGCGGGGAGCCCCTCTGCGGTCCTTCCCCGGTGCCGCTTGCCGCCCCGCTGAGCATCTCCGTGACGGGAGGATGCGGCATGGAGCAACGGGGTCTGTCGGGTGGAAGTTTGTCTCCAAGAACGCCTTGGGCTTTGTCCTAGGGGTGCCTACCGTTTCACGAGGGTTTCTGAGATGGTTAAGGGAACTGCGGCTCTCAGGCACTGACGTGAGTTGCGGGAGGGGCAGGATGAGTGCACAAATGGGTTTGTAGCCTGGAGCTGGGTGGCGTTCAGGTGTTTGGGCCAAAAGACTGAGGTCATCCCTCCCATTTTCCCGTAGGGTCTAGGTTCTACCGATGCTTAATTTGCAGTAGAAAACGCTGTCGCACATATGGCTAAACGTATTTCTTTGCATCATCTGTGAAGCCCTTACTGCGGCCTTGAAGATCATAGGCAGGGGATGACGGATGTGTCTGAGCACTGACACAACAAATACTGAGCCACAAGGCACCAGCCAGACAGCTGCAGGGCTGTGCGGCAGCCGATGACAATATGCTCACAGCCCTGTATATTCAGGACAGCCAGCTATCTTGTGTTCACAGTGCCTGAGATTTCCCTCTGCACCTCATGCAGTCTTTGCTCCCAACTGTTCTGACAGGTCTGCCACTTAGACTTCCTAATCCGTGTACAAATCATGGAAGTGGTTGAACTTTCTTCATGACATAGAGATAACAACAAATGTGGACACTTACAGGGATGCAAGGAGCAGCCTTCAAGCAGTCAGAGAAGTGAAAACAAACCTTGAACATTTCTGTGGGCAATTGGTCAACTTAAAGCTTTTGCTAATGGGTCCCATGGCTTGTCAACAGCCTCATGATCCTGTAGTTGAAATAAAGTTGGCTCAGCAAAGCCTGCGTGAAACTGCAAGATGCTTAGGTTAAACTACAGTTTTTGAAGTACCTAGAGTAGAAAATTGACTTTTCAGCTTAGGCTGAAAAAAACTGTCTTCTGTGGGTGAAAATGAGGGTTTTCACCTGTCCAATTGCTTTATAAACACCTGCGACACAGCTCACTGCTAAGAGCTGTTACTGGGTCCAGGATACAGCTGCTGTTCTGACAGCAGAGCTCCCCAGTGTAATTACAGCCCCGCAGAAGATCAATAGATGGTTAATGCTGAAAGGGATTTTTTTGATTTATTTGGCCTACAACCACGAGCTACAGAAGATTTTCCAATATATTAAGTCCAACATAAAAATATCTAAGTCATTTCTAGACATGAGAGCACTTGATCTTTCTGCTAAGCACATTATATCTCACTTCAGTCATCCTCCTCTCTGTTTTTCTTCTGTTCCAGCACAAACATTTGCACATGAATCTATATTTGAAATGCCTGTAACAGTGATGTCTTAACCCTGCAGTCCTACTTCCTTGGTCTTTTCCTCTTGCTTCTTCCATCCCAATGTAAATAGTCCTTTTTGCTTGGATCTGCAGTTGTACTGAAACGTCCTGTATTAAGCAGGCGTTTAATGGGCTTCTCTATGACTCTTGTCATTTATGGATTTCCCTTGGATCAAATACATAGACTTAAATCTTAACAATGGTTTTAAATTGGCTTTATTTGGGGGTAAATCAGTGTGAGATAAAATCCTCAGTGACTAACTGAGAATGTGTCTGAAGTCCAAGCTTTTGTTCTTGAAAACAGCACAAATGAGGATGCTGCTGTGGAGCAGAAAGAAGAGAGCCTGGTTGGTCCCCTGCTGCAGCATGGATCCAGTTCTTCCAAGGGCTGCTTGGGTTTACAGCTGTTGTTGCTGAATGTCAGAGCAAGCTCTCAGATTACCTGCCACTACTCAGATGTTTTGTGGTTTGTTGGGGTTTTTTTGGGGTGGTTTGTTGGTTTGGATTTTTTTTTTTTTGTTGATATTTCTTTTTCTTCCTATTGAGATACCAATTTTTTGAGCTGAATGACCTGAAATTGTCGTGGTTTCAGCGGTGGTGTTGGATTTTTCAATCCCATTAATTCTTGTGCATTCACTCTTGAAGGAAAGGAATAGAAGGGCCTTATTTTTCTAAACATTTCAGCAGTTATTGTTGTTGACTGTTTTTCTGATAGATTCTCCTTTACTTTCCTCCCCTCTGCTCTGTACTGCCCTGGTTAAGCTGTGGGCTGGCTGTCTTTCTTGTCTTACTTGTTATTGTGACAGCCTACACCTACACCGAAGACTTGATGGTGGCTTTTCTGCATTTTTTTCCAATTAAGAAATGGTCTTAAATGTTTACATTTTTAAAACTTAGCTGGATTTTTTTTTTTTTTTTTTTGAGGAAAATAAACCTAGTGAGTACAAATGTCATTTATTTGCTACCAAAGCCAAGTAATCACTCAAGAAAGCTGAAGGCAGCAGCCACTTGACATTTTGAATTATGTATTTGTCTTGTTTGTATTGGCAGAGTCAAACAGCAGTTGTCCATGACTGGTTTTATCTTGTCTTCCATATTTAAGAACTCTAATTGGGCATGACATAGTGCAATCGGTTGGCCTGTTTAAATAAAAGAGAGAAAACCTCCTGGGTAGATGCTTCTGAAACCAGTGGTCATCAGCCCACTGATACTCTTGGAAATGCTGTGCAAGAGAGAGACCACGTAAACTGTCTCAGCTGCCTCTTGCTGCCAATGCTAAGTGGAGCAGAAACGTGTTTCCAAAATGCTGTTTGTGGCCACAGCAGCACCAAGGAGTGCAACAAATTCAGAAAACACATGTACGGCTTGGCTTGTTTGCAGGCTACAGCTTTGTAGACCATCAGGTCAAAAGGTAGCTGCGTCCTTTCTGCTTAAGTGTGCCACTGGATAGTCACTTGCTACTTGGGGCTTAGTCTGTATTTAGCCCTCCAGCTTTTTATCCCTATTCCCCTATGTAAATATTAAACAGATTTATTTTATTCAGGCTTATTCTATGGCACTGAAAACATCAGCCAAAAATCCTTTCATAACTTAGATCAGATAGCTTTCTATTGTCCCCATCTTTGTGGACAGTTTCTCTCTTCTCTCACCAGCAGATCCTCATGCTCTGACAAAGCTTTTCCTCCACAGATCCACAGGAACCTCTTGGCTCCTTACAGTCTCTGTGTCTGCCTCCTCCTCCTGCAAGGGTTTGCTGTTTCACTGTGGCTTCTGGGCCAACCAGAAACAAAGTCAGGTACAGGGGGTGGAGAGGAAGGAGGGCACAGGGGTTGTGATGGAGATTAGTGTTGGTCCCTGCCACCACTTCCAAGCAGAAGGTCAGGGGGGACCTTTGAGTACCAGTTCTCAGAGAAAGGCTATTTGCTTGCTAAATCTCTCTCCCAAAAGCAGCACTGACCCTGCCTTCTGGCTAAAGGGAGAACATGAAACACACATACAAACATATATATACACATATATGAAATGTGAAGTGCTTTTCCTTCCCCTAAGTTCTTCTGAATTTCTTGCGTAAGACCTGCTCGAGCAACATCCTGAATAATAGCTTCTGGTTCTTCTATCCAGAGCAAATATGATTGACCTAAGAGATGTTATTCACACGGAGTACGATATTGCCCCTCTCGAGTGAGAGTCAAACAGGTAAAGTCGTTTTCTATCCCTCCTGCAGGGAGGGGGGGTTTCAGCAGGCAGAAACCAAAGAGGTCTCCTTATTTCTTGATGAAAACAGTGTCTCTCCTAAAGACAAGGAAACAATTCCAACAATAGTTGCATCAGAGGAACAGCAAAGCTCTTTTTTCATGACCCTGCAGTTCCAGGAAATATTTGCATTGCAGATCCTGTCAAAAGAAAGTCTGTGCTGAGACATCACATCTTCTGCTTTTGTTCTTTCCTTTGCCCCACTTTATCTTCTGTTCACGTGCTTGTTCTTGGTGTTCAGAAGTTGTCTCTCTTTTCTGTACTTTGCACGAAAAGCTGCTGAGAGTTTAAAGAAATAGATAGGAAACATCAGACAGATGTGTTTGAGCTCTGAACGGCATCTTGGGCTCTGGCTGTGATGGTTTCTGAGGGCACTGGCCTCTCTGACAGAGTGCTCCCTTGGAGCTCCATCACTAGAGAGTCATAAGGACAGTTGGCAAGCAGCTGTTAAGTGCATCAATGGGAAAAGGAGAGAACAGGTGGTAGGTCCCATGCAGGTGTCATTTCTAATGCTGTGCCCTCGAGAAGACAGATGGTCAGTTGATTCCAGTAGAAAGCAAGGGGTCTGCACACTGCTTTGAAACTCCAAATATGCTTCTTGTTCTCTCTTTCTCACTTCAGACATCGTAGAAGATAATAGTCATCCAGAAGGGAAGGGTGGGTACCAAGTCTCCCTTTCACTCAAGTGAAAGCCATTGCAGGGATGAATCAAGAGGAATCTTCTTCCTGTGAACACAGCATGGGATTTCTTCTCATCTCTTCTTACACTGTGGAGTTGAAATAAAGTAGCTTAAATTATTGCTGGTGATCAGAAGATTAAAAACAGCAAAATGTCCCAAAGTGGTCCATAGTCATTGGGGGCTTTTTCTAGGTGTGTCCTGACATATGGTAGTGAGTAAACACCTAACCCTGCGCTGTTGAGCTGCCAGCTCTGCAAGCCATTGAGTTGTTCCAGTGACACCGTTGTGGCACTAGAGATAAGGCTGTGTTTGATTTTTCACTTATAGCAGTTCTAGTTTTCAGAAAAGCACAGCTAAGTAGTCAATTAGTTTTTAAATTCTAATCATGGAAAATATAGTTCACTGAAGAGTTCACTGAAGAATATAATCATTCATCTGGCTCCTCTGAGTCTCAGAACTACAAAGTTAAAATTAGCACATCATGAAACATCATTGAGGTCACAGTTCTCATAGCAGGGGGCTAACTAACCAAAAGCCAAATGCTCAAGTCACCTTTGCAGCGGTGTAAGATGAGACAATCCCCACAATGCTGCTGGTAGCAGAACTGCCCATGCTGGGCTCTATGTGAACTGCATCTCATCCCAAGACACCAAAT